AGAAACAGTAAGTATTTTTAATCTCTTCATTTTAAATTTGCATTTATTTTAATAACTATTGTAAGAATGAAGAAATTATATAGGAAGATTTTGTCAGTATTTGGTTTTGCTTTGTATGGAAGAGATGAGTAACGTATATGTGGGGGTGACATCATTTTGGCGGATGTTATACTGCTAATGTTTCTGCATTCTGGGGAGCCACCCAGTATATTAAAAACTCACATTGGAATAGCTTCAGTCAAGGCTCAAGCATGATGCCAACTTAATTATCCTTGTAAATGTACAAATGAGCAATCTAATGTTCATATGAGTCAATAATAATCTAAATCTGTTTTTTAAACTTTTTGCTCTTAGAACATCTTCCCACTTTTTAACAATTATGGAGTTAAAGAGTTTTTGTTGTACATGTTTTATTTATAAATATTTACCATATTAAAAATTAAATCAGCACATTTATTCAATGTTTATCGAATAATGTAAAATTAATACTAAACCCATTAGATCAGGGGTGTCAAACTGCCGGCCCGCGGGCCAGACGCATCACGTGGAAGCTGCGCCCACCCCATGGCCGGCAATGACAAAATCGGCCCGATATGTTGTGCGACGTCATGTGACGTCGCAAGTTTGACATACCTGCATTAGATACTAACAAAGTATTGTTGATAAAAATGATAATTTTAGCAAATAAAACATAATGAGAACAGTGAAATTAAATTTTTGGAAATATCTTCAGTATCTGACAAATATTTTGATTCTGTGGACCTTGAGTGAGTCTTGGGGGACCCCCAGAGGTTTCTTGCATCACACTTAAGAAACACTGATCTAAATGAAATTTTAGAAATGAAGAAAAATGAAGGCAGAACAGGAAGAAATGGGTGGAACCAATCAAGGAGAGAACCAACCTAGAAATAAAGAGAAATTTCCTGACAGAACAAAATGAAATAATGATGAATATCACTGGATTCTATTTCCAAAGAAATTAACAATAAATCTTGCTGAGTAAAGATGATAGTCACACTCTTGTGAGATGGGTGGCCGTATAAATAGAATACATAAATAAGTGGCATGATTTAGTGTTAGCTAAGAAAAAGATTTGGAATTAAGTAGTATCTGTCCTCAAAGTATGTCAGCTTGTCCTCAGATGTAAGAAATACTGTCCTCAGCAAAAAACAAATCTTGGATTTTTTACCTTTAAAAATTACCACAATTACCTTTCAATGTTTATTCAAATGTTCTTGCCACCTAATTTCTTCAATTAATTCAGGCTAGTTTCAGCAAAAAAAATATAAAAATGTTGGCATTATATTGTGATCCTTGCAAAACTATAAAATCTTGACAAAATAATATTTTCAAATGCAAATAGAAAAGCTGAAAATGAAGGGCTTAGGTTTAATTCCAACTGGTGCTGATGTAACAAAGAATAATAGCTGCAACTTGGAGACCTCAATAGCTTAAACCAATTAGGAACAGATGGGAAAGATACCAAGACCTGCAAGAGCTCTTGAAGTGGGGGGTGGGGCATGGATAAATTTAAATAGTCCCTGAACTGGATGGAAAAAATGTTACAACTTTATGTTCATCAATATCCAACTAAAATGTAGCATTTTTATTTAATAATTTCACTTTTTTACTCAAGCTAAACAAGTCCACCACTGAAACACCTTTTTAAAATTAATTTTAACTGGCCTATCTTTTGAAGACAATCACTACTTCACTTAACCTCAAATACTGGAGCCATCAAAAATATTAGCGAAAAGAGACCATGTAATTCTGGAATTGTTGACTGTAAAAATTGAAAATACACACAAGACAAATGATTGCTGCAGAAAAATAAGAATGAGAGAAAGATACTCCATTGAGTGTCTTGTTTTTTTTCTCAGACAATATAGCATTTTTTCAGTTCCACCACTATCATACTGTGGTTGCCTGCATCCCACCAACTACTAGGGGGTGTATTCAGTGTACTCATGGACACTGAGAACACATACAGAAAACATAAAAAGCCAGGTCATAAAGGAAACAATAGAGTTAAAAGATGGCAAGAATAATAAACAAGAGTTTTTATTATTGGCTAATGGGTAATAAGAAACAAAGTTAAGACAATTTCTATTTCAGTTCTCCCACAGATAGATCTCACTTAACAACTGCAATTGGGACTGGCAATCCCAATGCTAAGTGATGTGCTTATTAAGTGAAATATATGACCGTGTCACGCTTTCATCAGTTCTGCTGCAGTCATTATGCATGACATTATATGACTGCAGCTTGTAAATTATTGCTAGGTGTGTTGTGTAAGGGTCAGGTCTGAAGCTTGAGATTGATTGAGGCATTGTCAGGAATACTTTGAATAAACTCCAAAACCAGATGAATCGCATCTGACTACATGCTATTTAGAATTACAAAGACTAAGTGGCATACAAATGTGAATAAACAAGAATCTTTGAGAAATTCTGGGACTTGAAGAAACATCTCTTACTTCCAAATGAGAAAAAAAAATAGCATCCAGAATACCACAGACCAATCACTTTTATATACTTAGGAAGAATAAATCATAAAAAGATAAGTTGTAAGTCTTAGGAAAGTAAAGGTTTCCCTGTCGGTCATGTCCAACTCTAGGGCATGGTGCTCATTTCTTGGCTGAGGGAGCCAGTGTTATCCAAAGACAATTTCTGTGGTCATGTGACCAGCATGACTATATAGTCCAGTAGTGGCGAACCTATGGCACGGGTGCCAGAGGCGGCACTCAGAGCCCTCTCTGTGGGCACGTGCGCCGTCGCCCCAGTCCTAGGCCTTCAGCTGGGTTTTATAAAACCTTTTCGCTTTAGGCCTCCGCCGCTGTGTGCAAAAAAAAAAAAGGTTCAATCTGTCAATTTCAACTTCTTGCGGGAAAAAAAAGATCTTGCAAAGTTGGAATTGATTGATTGAACTTTTTAGTCCCACCCAGTCTGCCGTTACCACTGCAGCCACACCCAGCCAATGGGCCACACCCAGCCAATGGGCCACACCCACTCGACACTCGACGATGCTTAAGTGGGTTTTGGGTTGCAGTTTGGGTACTCAGTCTCTAAAAGGTTCGCCATCACTGCTATATACCAAAGACGCACTGAATGCTGTTATCTTCCCACTGAAGTGGTACCTATTAATCTACTTGCATTTTCATGCTTCCAAACTGCTAGATAGGCATAAATCTTAGGAAAACAGTGTTTAATTCCCAGAAATCAGAATGGATTTGTAAAGTTAGACTCAGATTTACTCTTATGTTTTGGTAACTTCCATAATGGATTGTGGGAATACAGTAGATATATGTTCGCTTTACCAAAGCATTTGACTAAGCAAGCTAAATAAGTGTTACCTGGACAGCATGAAATTAAGTGGCTACATAGCTAGCTTGAACATTATGCTCAAAGAATGCTCATAAATGGTTTCTCATCAAATTGGAGAGGTAACAAATAGGGTGTCAGAAGAATAAATCCTGGTTCTTCCATATTAATGACATCAGTGAAATAATTGAAAAGGAATTACTTACTGGATTTGCAAATAAATCGAACTGGGATAACTAATAACATAGTCAAGAAACAAAATTAAAAGTAAGTTTGATAGGCTAGAGCAGGGGTGTCAAACTGCTGGCCCACGGGCCAGACGCATCATGATGAAACCGGGGAAAAAGTTCCGATACATCGCGCGACGTTGCAAGTTTGACATATCTGGGCTAGAGAAATGGGCTAAAATAACAAAGGCAAATGTTAATACAAGGAACAATGCACAGGTATAGCATAGGGAATACCTGATTTAGAAATGCTGCTTGTAAGTAAAAAGTTGGAATATTTAATTGCAAACTACTTGTAATCACCAAAGTTGTTAGGTTCTTTTCATATATATGGCTGCCCCATATGAAGCTCCCCATCTTATATTCCTATTTTGATTTTTCAAACCCAGATATAGGGCTTTGTGGCTTACCTTTTCTGGTTCAAATTCCACTTGCTGGTTGTACCAGCTTGTCAAGATGTTTCCTATTTCACCTATCTTTAAGTTCTCTGAAATGTGAAAATTATATCTTCTAACTTCTCACCAAGGTCATTTATATGTTGAATGGCATGGAGCTAACAATGGAACTTGATGATATAACTGACATTTTCTGCAGCTTATCACGGAATCATCATTGCAAGAAACAGGACAATAGATTTAGGTCAGGGGTGTCAAACTGCCGGCCCACGGGCCGGATGCGTCATGCCAAAACCACGCCCACTCCAATGGGGAATGGGCGGAAAGTTGCAATACGGATAGACGGAAATGCTTTAATTGGGAGTTCTGCAGAGCACCTGATAGTAATGACCTTTTCCAGTCTGGCTTCTAAGAATTAACTTATGGGGGGGGTGTCTAATATATTGCTAGAACCTAGCTTGATATGCTAATAGGAAGTGGACATTATATTTATACCTTGTTTTTATGAAGTGGAAATGATCCGAGTTACTTTTCAAGTCATGGTCTTTAGATAGTGGCTCATGATCTGCATTCTTAATTTGCCTCCAGTGTCTGTTAAGCTAGTTCGCTAAATTCCGGGACAAAAGTTGGCCGTACTACGAAACTCTTTTAAGGAGAGCCTTTTTAATTAAGGGTTTACGTCTTAACATTGAGCGCGTCACGTTAAAAGGCAGCAAAGAAAGCCGCGGAAGGCGGCTTGCGCGCTGGGCCGGCCAGGCATGCTCCGGGGCCGCCGAGAAGGAGGCGGCGGAGGAGTGGCGGCAGAGGCAGAGAGCCGTCTGGCCCGGAGGCGGGCGGCCTCCACACGTGTGTCTGGGAGAGGGCGGGCCGGGCGGAGAGACGCTGTACCTGCGGCTGGCCCGGCGGGGGCGGTTCTGACTGAGCTGGAAGTCGCGCCAGACCGGCAGGGCGGCTGTAGCGGGCTCTGCCCCGTGCTCATGGCCGGGCCAAGTTGGCGGCGGCTGCTCGCCGTTGCTGAGGCGCTGAGGCGCTCCCTTTAAATCTCCTCCGGCGCCGACATGCCGCGCAGGCTGGATAAATTTTTGCAAATTGCCCCGCATTCCTTGGCCATCGTGCTGCGCCCCTGCGGCGGAGATGGAGCCGCGCCGCCCGAACAAGCAACCCGAGCGCAGCGAGAAGGCGACGCCGGCGGGGAAGGGGCGGACAGGCCGGGCGCGGGACAGGGGAGCCGAGCGGAAGGCGAGCCCGCGGCGGACAGCGAGCTGGGGCGGCACCACATCGGGTACGAAATTTTCGCCGACTTCAAGCAGGGCAACATGCAGCACTTCTGGAACAAGAAGGTGACGGCGGCCGTGGCCGAGACCTTCTTCCTGGGCTGGATCGACGAGCAGGTGCTGCTGATCCAGGGCAAGGAGGAGCACCTGGAAGCGCTGCGCGAGGGTTGGATGCGCAGGGCTCTCAAGCCCCCCGCCGGCTTCCAGATCAAGTGCCTGGGTAAGAGCGCGCCGAGTCGGAGGCGGCGCCGGGACAAGCCGGGGCAGGACCGGGGGAGCAGCTGCGTCGCCGTGGAGAGGCGGGGGCCGGCGCCACGCGCTCCCCTGTGCCGAGGGCGCTAACGTTTCCCGCTGCAGCTGGAAGAAAGCGCCGCGCTCCTTCCTGGCCGGTGGGAGGAAGGCGCTCTGGTGTGCAACCCCCGAGCCGGGTTTCCTCCTCCTCTTAACGCTTCTCACCTTTGCGTTAACTGCCCTGCGCTTTCCGTGGCTCTCTGTGGACGGGAGGCTTTTGGCGGAATACGGGGACGTCCGGTACTGTACACGCACACTTCGTGGTCTAAAGGCGCTTGCAACTTTTTACCTTTTAGCCATCACATTAGCCCGAACTCTCTCCCAGTGTTTTTCCCTTTTCCAACTTCAGCCGAAAGTATAACTTCAGAGAGGTTTCGGCAGGTAGTGCAGGAAGAACGTCTGCTAGCCCTTTGCTTGTCAAACTTGTCTTCGGCTAACCCTTCAGCTAATCTTATTGGTGATAGTCTTGGCTTGAATGGTTGGCAAAGTAGATACACACACACACACACAAACAAACACAAACAAAGCATTTTGTAGGGGGGGGGGCTCTGTTTCCAACCCCTTTCAACCCTCTGCATCAGAATCTAGAGGAAAAGCTGATTTTTTTGCATTAGGAGAATCTGGTGTAGTAAAACAGCATCCTTAGCTTGTGTTTGCAAATATAGATATGAGTGTGGCACCTGAGTGCCATCTGGATTTGGAAATTTCACTGTTTTATCTTTTAATGAGATAGTGCTGCTTTCTTTGCAAAACCCTATTTATAAAAGGGTTAATTTGTATACCAGGTTTCATAACTAGTTTTCTCAGGTTATTCCAGAAAATGTTACATTTTTTGCTGTTAGTAAAAAAGTATTTTGTGTTGCTCAATTTTTTTTAGCATTGTGCATTATGATTTCAGGAGCCCTAGGCAAGATTGAGAAGGTAGGAAAACATCTTGGAAGAAGGCATTAGCAAACTGTGTAGATTATTGCCAAGAAAAGCACATGAATGTGTCCATGTAATTCTCAAGATATCAGATTTATCTCTTTTTTCCCCTTGTCTAACTTGCTAGCTTGGTTCTGTGAGTGAAACGGAATAAAAGGCTGAGAATTTTGATTTAAAAATGAGCAGTAACTGAGCATTTTTGTGTTGAATAGGTTTGAGGTTAGAGTCTGGTGTAAATTATCTTGACTTCCAGAAATGCTGAGTAGATTTTTTTAGGATTGCACTGTGAATAGAACAAAGATTATAATTCTCTTCCCCCCACACACTGCCCTTTATTAAATAATTGACATGAAGATGACTGCACAGATTTGGTTTTGACTGCTTACAACTTTTATTGTTATGCCTAACAGCATATTGATATTTGAATTTCCCTAATTAACCAAAGTAGTGATATTAAAGGTCTTAGTTCATATCTTTGGGATGTAGAGTCAACAGTCCAAGTAAATATTTTTTTTTTGTTATTTACTGATTGGCAAGAGGCACTACAGGTAGTCGTCTCTTAAGAACCCTAGTTGGACCTGACATCTCTGCCTCTAAGCAATGTGATAGTTAAGTTGGAAATAACTTGATAGCAACTGTGCTTTCTGGCTGGAAATATACAAGACTAATCAGTTTCACACCTTTGACTTTTGTTTGCCTCCTAACCACTTCACAGCCTTTGGAATGCTTGAGACCCTTTTTGCTATCTTGTACTTATTGAAAGCAATGCAATCATACCACTAGTCCAAACTGCGGGGACCCTACACAAACAGTTAACTCTTTGAAACTCTTTCTCTCCAATCTCTCTGCTCTGCAAAGTGAGGGGGGGGGAGAAAAAGCAAGTGATTTTTATAGTCAATCTCTCCTTTGCCTAATCCTTTTTCACTACTGCCACAGTTCCATTGCTTTCAGTGTGCTGAAGAGCAAACACCTTGCAATTTCTTCCCCTCCAGTCTCTCTGCTCTGTAGGAGGAAAAAAAGAAAAAAAATCCCACAGAGGCACAGGACAAGGTTTACTGACTGTAATAATGATCAGGTGACTGAGGAAAGCGGTGACGATTGTAAATGGGCTGTAAAGTTATTTTTTTCAGCCCAGTGATAACTTTGAATGGTTGGTAAGTGAGGACTATCTGTATACAACTCTTTCCTTCTTTCCACTCCTGGAGACTGCCTGGAGAATTTTCTTGGCAAAATTTCAGGAGTAGCTTGCTCCTGTCTTTCCCTAAGGCTGGGGAAGAGTCATTGAGCCAGCTGGCTTTCCTGGCTTCTACACTGATGGCTTAACTACCACATCAATTGATTTTCACACAATATCTGGAACACAACAATAGAATGTCTAGTATTATGGGTGCTTCCACCTGTATCCCCAATACCAATGACTCCCCCATGTAGTGCTTCCTACTGGTGAGTAGCTAATATATTTAAAGTTATATAAGTCCACCCCTCCCCTTAAGGCAGGGGTGTCAAACTCACAACATCACATGACGTGTCACGACATATCGTGACTTTTTTTCCATTGCCGGCAATGGGGCGAGTGTGGTTTTACCGCAACGCATCTGGCCCACGGGGCCGGCAGTTTGAACCCCTGCCTTAAGGGAAGGCAATCTTGAGGCCTCTAATAGGCCCATAATAATAAAATTACAAAACACTTCCTAATATGAGAGCAAAGAGGGAAAAAAAGGAAAGGGTACCTGCAATAGCTTCTCAAACTTATTTTTAAAAATCTATTATAAACATTTTCCCAGCATTGCCATAATGATCTGTATTTATCAACACATTTCTCCCAATAGTCTGTTACTAATCTGTTATTTTTTATTACCATAAGGGCACTATTTGATGAGGACCAAATTTCATGGGGTATATCTAGATTGTGCTCTTATCTCATTCTAATTAAAGTTTTTGGCACTTGTATGCATCGAGTATAAAATTAAATTATATATATTAAACCTTTATATTGCTGTAAGACATTTATGCTTATATTTAAAAGAATTGTAAAGATACACACATGTGCACAAACACATGGCTATAAGAAAAAGCTGGACATATTTTTAATGCCAGGAAGATTGTGAATTTTAAACTTAAAAGATATTTCAGTAGAGAACTAGTCATAGGCTCAAAGATTTTGGCTAAATCTGTTAATCAGCAGTTGTTACTTGTAGCCAACAGTTTCCTTTTGACTTCTGCCTCCACAAAGGCATGGTGTCTATTTTATACCTAGGAAACTTTATAGTAAGCGTTGTTAGTAATTCTCTAATTTTCATGACTAAATATAGGAACATGACATTTGTCTTCCTTTATGGCTGAGGTGAATACACAAACATGATGATGATGATGATATCGATATCCATTCAGTCGTGTCCAACTCTTGGTAATTCTATGGACCAGGTTTCTCCACATCTTCCAATTTTGCACTACTTCTTTGAGTCTATGCTTTGGCTGGTGTCAGCTTTGATAGTAAACACAAGGTACGCCTCCTATAAGTTGTTTTTTTCTGGCTATTGGATTTACATATTTGATTGACCATCTGCCACCTGCATTTATACAACAATGATTGTTCATATAATGACCTTTGTAATATAGAAGTCAGACAATAAGAAATCTATGCAGAGATTTAACATGCAAAGGCAAAACAGATTTCTTTGTATCAAGTCATGTTATGTAGAATTGTCTTCTCTGAATGGTTGAGGTTCTTTGGAAGCTCAGCTCCATCATATAAGTTGAATTTGAACCTTTTAATGGGTTATGTAGGAAGCATATTCTGTGTCTCTGAGATATTCTGCTTCTCTAGTCTTGTCACAAACCCATCTTGTAGTTGTTCTTTATTAATAAAGCATCCTATTTCCTCCAGTACTTGGCATATTTATTTTAGACTTGCAAGAAGAGTCATGTTAAATATCTCATATAAAATACTAACAGAGGAATCGTTCTATTTCTTCAATTTATTTTTGGAAGGTGCTGTCTTTTATTACTCTGGTTTTCCTAGTTGATTTTTTTTTTTTTGCTTTGAAATACATTTTGCCTTAAAGTCTCTTTAAATTTATTTTGTCGTGAAAATGAAATACGCATTTGTAAACTTTATATTTTAAAATACTACTTGTGGTGTAGATTGAGGTAAGAACAATCCATGTCTCTTAAGATTTTGTAGAAGTTGAACAGAAGACACCATTACTGGCCAGTCCAACTGCGACTGCTGGAAGTTGGTTGATGGGTACATATTCTCGGCTCTTGCATAGAGAATATTAAGCCAAAGTGGTATTTTTAAAAAATGGATGGAAGAATAAGGATTAACTGTTAGAAAGGTAATTATTGAGAAATATTTTTCCAAGTTTATTCAAAACTATATTTTTAACTTTTTAATTTTTTAAAAAATTCTATATTATCTGTAAAGTATCTTCACAGTGATCTAGTTCAAATGGAACATTGACCCTTGAGTTGACTTAAATAAGTGAGCTCCAAACCATACATTTCCTCCTGGACCCTCCCCTTTTCTCCCTTGCAGACAACAGTTTGCAATTACATCTAACTTCAAAAGAAGAATTGCAACTCATAATCAGATTTGCATTTTAGACTTGAGGGCAATAGAAACCATAGCATGTCAGTTTAGCTGAATTAGTAAAATTACAGAAGAACAAAGAGCATAATGACAAGATATGGCAAAGTGTGCCCATGTTTGAAGCTTGGTTTACTGAATTATGGTCAGGTATTACATCAGAACCCAAGACAATACAAGACATGAGGCATGTTCAGCATCTTGTCCTGAAAATTCATATTACTTTAAGATACAATATATTTAAGTTATACAATAATAGCTTATATAAAATAAACATATTTGATAATCAGAGAAACAACACCAGCAATACAAAATACATAGTACTTTGAATATGTACAATTCAGTGTTAATATTTACAAGTAGAATAATCAAGTTGAAGTATTAGAACCTTAAGCAAAAGATGTTTTTGCACAGTA